TTAACGCCATCTATGCGTGAGATGCCCAATGACGCATGACAGGTGTCCAATGACACACAGATTCCGTTTGGTTTGACAGCGCCATCTAGCGGCGGAATCCCCAACTCATGATTACAGATTCCGTCCAACAACCTGTCAATGGCGCGCGACGCCAGCGCCTCTGGTGGCGGATTTTGGAAGTTTTGAGACCGAATCCCCATAAGACATCTACTTACACCTTTGAGTAATTTAAGAACCAATCTCAATGGTTTTGTTGCATCCTACGTATTTTGATGCTTAACAGCAAACTCTGCAAGATTGTTATTATTTAAGATATTACTAGTTTTATCGTATCATGTCAGTACGCGATGATGAACAAAAAATGTATGATCGCCTTCCTTACTACAATGCAGATAATTTCCAAGGTCAATGGGCGGATTATATAAACATATACCCTACCGAGATTACCAATAGCCCTGAACTATAACAGTGCCGACCAAGAACCAACCAATGAAAAGGCATTGCAAGGTCGTGCCCTTCACAGCCTTTCCCTAGGTCTAGACAACCGGGTGCTAAATTCGACCCTCTGCAATATAATATAGGTACCTACTATTCTTACCACCCTCTGACTTTAAGCTAAAAATAGTTATTTTATGGGGCAAGGCTTTCAGATCCTTGACTCTAGACTTCAAGGTGACTGCGCTGGTGGATGTATGGATTCGGATCTTGTATTTCAAAGGGAGTGAAACAGCCCTTATTTAAGGCGACTAAAATATTTACTGTCTAAGGAAAGATACACACGTTCAATATGTCATTTTATAACTATTCTTTGTGAGCTTTCAAACTGACTGGAAAAGAAGGAGGTAGGTAGAAACACTGTAAACTGACCTGTATGATTACTTGGACTCCTTCACGCTACAAAAAAAAAGTTTTGAGATAACAGCTTGAACTGGCTGCGGACAAATTTCGACCCTGAAACATTAAAAAGTACCCTTAGGTACCTGAATGATATGAAATTCCAAACTCAATCAAATATCTAAGTGCATCATATTTTTTCATGTAGTAGATCGACCGGTCTATAACTGATTGCAGATGATACTTGTCTTGCAACAACCGGAATTACGCAAAATTTCTTTCATTTTTTACAGTTCACACAGTTCTTCTTGGTACAATCGAACTCGATGGATATGCGTTATAGGCAGTCGATCGAGAGAATTGTTTCTTGTGTAAGGAAGATTGCCTATACGTATATCCAAGATCAGAATAATGCAAAAATCTATTAGTCCAAGCATCATCTTCACACCTGCTTGGAAAAATACTCCGATCTGATTTTTTCTATAATTTACTAAGAAAAGGTCGCCTTCTGACGCATCTGAATATTGCCAGGCTCAAAACTGTATCAAAATATTTTTTTCAACAAATTCTAAAAATTGGTCTTTTCGCTCTTCAAGTTTTTTGGGGTTTGTTGGGTCATACGATACAGAAAAGGTTTTATTGAACTTTTCTCTGAAGTTAATAGTTTTCGCGGTATAAATGATACAATATTAGGTCGAAATATGCCATTTTCGATCCTCAAAGGCAGTATTCGATTCAATTCAAACTATATCTATCTATCATGTGGCGAAGTCTGGCCATTGGCCATTTATACTTAACCATGTCGTAAGCTTATTGCTACCTTAACCTAAAACTAATTATAACGGCAAATAATCAGTATCAGAAAAAATGTAATCCGAAGGTATATCGTCTAGTCGGCCTTTGTATCAATCCTGCGCATCAGGAAGATACCTAATATGAACATCTCAAAGGACATAGTGACGTCAAAATCTCGGCATTTTTAGAGCTCTGCTGACATTATATGGCGTCAAAGTATGTCGTATAAAAGACCAAATGAAAATTCGATATGACGTCTGTATGACGTGGATATGACGTCGATCAGACGTACAGTCGCTCGCAAAAATAATCGCGCTATGTGTCCAAATGCTCTTGAAGATGTGACAAAGAAGTTTTTCTCCATATTCCTTGTGGTCCAGGAAAATGCAATTAGGTGGACGTTTTTCTCGGAAACAAAGCAAGATACAAAAAAAATTCAAGAGACAAAAACGTTGTATTTCTGTTCGCTCGATCCACAGAACATAATAAAAATTGCACAAAAGTCAGGGACGTACATTTTTTTGTCAAACTTACGTTCAGATCCCGCTCAAAACGCCACCGGACTTAATAAATCTATTCAAGCTGAGGCTAAATTGGCTCCTTAATGTTATAAATACCACTGCCAAATTACAACAAAATTAGTTAAAAGATAGTTAAGAAATTTACGAAAAAACACTTTTTTTAAGTTTTATCTTGAGAACGAAGAATTTACGCACCTATGTTTATATGAACTTTTTGTCTTAAAATTACTGAAATCGTCTGTTAAATTTATGGTACATACTTAACACCTTATATAGTATGAAAAAAAATTACTGTTGCCAAAGTTCCTAAAATTTTTATAGTTATTAAAATAAATATTTTGGGGGGCCAGATCCTCAGACCATGCTTCCTGGCCTTTCTCTAGTATACAGAATGCAGATAACTTCGCTATTTATGTGAACAAGGTAACCAAGCAACTATGGAAATTTTACACGACCATTTTTTAAACATTTATGACTTCTGACTTGTTTTCGTGATGTTTCTAGTTTCTTCCTTTGTTTTATTTCAAACATAAAATATTTATGTAATGTTATTGCCCAGGATTAGAAAGATATGTGCACAATAAAGATACCACCGACAAACCTCGGTCGTCTATTAACGAAGATAAGAGTTACCTTTTAGTTTGTCGAGTCGTTTTAGTAGTGCATCTCAACTTTTTACTATGGAAATGCCTGAGATCTCAAATAAGCAGGTATGAAAGCGCATTCTTAGTTTTTACGTATCGTCAGATTTAATTTAATAGTGTTGAGAATAAGTCAACATGTTGTCCATCCGACCACAGAGAGACAATCATAGACGGCTGTTTCGTGCTTTTTGTCAACTCATCAGCACATTCTAAGCTTTGTCTCTATTATAAACTATGTTCATTCCGTTCTATCGAAGCGTAAATCGCCATCTATCACCCGAATAGATCACTGCGAACAGTGAATAGCAGCTTTCAGTTGGATTTATAACGATTTCAGGAAAATCTTAATTATACTTGAAACCAGGACTGCCTTTCATTAGCTGAGCTGTCCATTCAGGCAACTGCCCAGTGCTATCACATCAAAT